AAGGTTTAATTTGATAATTAGATTTAGAAAAGTGTCAGTAAATTAACAGTTTATTTAATAACTATAACAATGAAGTACTGTCTTAGTCGACGCTTTGTACTATACAATATGTTAAGGAAATTAAACTAAACTATTATATAAAACTATAAGTCAGATACACCGTTAAGCTAAAAGAAACTATCCTCTATTTATATAAAATGAAAAATATAAAGTTATCAAAGATATAAAAGAAATAAATATAATAATAAAATATATGAAATAAATAAAATAAAATAAATAAAAGAAATATATGCTATAGATGACATAGATAACATAGAAAACATATATGATTTCCTAGGAATTGATATCATCCTTTAGATCATCATCATCCATGTCTTCTTTTATGTAATACAATTTTGGTAAACTTTTGAAATGTTGTAATAAAAATAAACTTGTTTTATTTGTTAAATAATCAAGTTTGAATAAGATATAAGGATAATGCTATTATATTTGGTAAGTTTCTTTAAATTCATCTAAAATATGAGAGTCTATAAAATTTAGCATTTTTATTTAATATATTTTTTTAAAAAAGGTTTTAGAAATTTATCAATTATACATACCTATTTAATTATATCATCAGCATTAATATTTACAAGTATGTTTCTTTGAATTTTATTGTGCATATTTTCTATTAGATAATTATTAAAATTTGATAAATACATTTTTACTGCATCTAAAAAAGGATGATTAATATCTTTTCAATAGAAAATATCTGACAAAAATATCAATGATGCTTTGTTATAATTTTTATGCTTTTAGCATAATACAAATGTCTATATACAAAAATGGTTTTAACATACTCATCAAATAAATTAGAATGAAAAAGTGTTGCATATATATCAAGTATTACTAGAATCAAGTTATCTAGTAAGTTAAGTAGTATTTGGTATTTAATATCCTTACATAAAAGCCTAAATTTATTTTTAAAAATTATTTTAATTTTTATCCAATCATTATATGTTAATTCTAATAATAAATTTATCTGCTAAAGTTTTAGTTTCTTAGTTAATTTTATACGTTTTCTAAAAAGAAAATGAAATAAAAGTTTAAAAAATGAATAATGCATTAGAAATACTTGTTCTTTACTATTAAATGATATATATAAAGGCCTAAAAATCAGAATAAAAGATTATATATTAGGTAGAATTATATTTGTTATTTATTCTTATGCATACAAATGAACTATTATCTTTTAAATTAACAATTAGTCTGATCAATCAATAATAATAGAAACTATATAACCATTAAGTATATTGTCATCATTTTCTAGAATTATTTTTAAGGTATTTATATAGTCTTTTATAGAATATAATTCTTGTTCTTTTATTTAACTAGATGCAAATTATTCATTGATCGCTTATCATTTTTCTTAAAATAAAATAATCATAACTATGTACTGTAAATAATTTAATACAATCAAAGTTAGTAATTTCTGTTTTTTGCTGAATTTATTAAAATTGTTGTTCTGTATATGATTTGTTAAAATTCCATAATATTTATAAATTAAATGATAATTAATGTTAGGTGTATCTATATTTATGGGATTATAGATTAAACCACCATTATAAATAATAGAAATTATGAATAACTGATTATTTATTTGTATATGCATGTTATCATATGACAAGCTGTTGAAAGTCAAATGATATCTGACTTTCTTTTTTCTTTAATTGAATAAAAATCATCTATATTAAATATATATAAAAAATTACACTAATAAAATAAAAATAAAACATTAACATATAATTATTTTAAAATTATATATTTTAATACTATTTACATTTTTTTTGAAAAAAATCTTTTATACTTATTTTATAATTTTGTATAATTTTTGTTTTATGTATATCAATTGTTTTTGAACATACTGATACCCCAATTTTATGCATTGCATTTATAGATATATTAGTTGAGTCAGTTAAATCTAAAAATAAGTTAATATCTAATACATATTCATTAGTAAATATATTTCATTATGTAGCTATAATATGGCAAATTGCTACAATTTTTTTTGCCTTTTCTTTATTGTATACTAATTGTGTATTAAGAATTATCACATTTACTATCATATCAAAAAATTCTATTAAATGTAAATCTTCTTTTTCAATTATAACTTTAAATACTATCAGATTTAATACTAATTTTGCATGCTCTTTTTACTGCTTTTTACATAAAACTTCAGTAAGTAATGATATACATTGCTATAAGTCTAAAAATAAATATTAGATTAATAAAGTAATCAATTAATATTTTTATAATTATTTAATTTATTGATTATATTATAATTTATAGGACTTCTATTCTTGATAATGCAATTTTCTTTATCATTATTTTATAACCTTTTATTTTTCTTATTATAATGATCTAGCTCACAAATTTCTAAATAATGATTATGATAAAGTTGAAGTCCAATTTCTATATTATAATTATTATAAGTTCTTTTAGCAATTACCTTATTTTTACAAGTTAGTGTAAAAATACGAAAATGATTTGTAGGTTTATTACAATCTTTTATAAAGTAGAAATCCAAGTTTCTTTTTATCATACTGGCAAAAAAAAGAATTGATAGATTTCTTGAGAAGACAAACTCTCTTAAAAGTATCATCAAAAATTCTCAGATACATAATTTTAGATACACATAATGTAGCTTAGTTTAATATATTTAATTATAATAAAATAAATCAATATATTAATTTACTTAATATATGAATTACTTTAATGCTATGAACTAATTTTAATTTCATGCAATTAATTACAAAATGTTATAAAGCTATTGACTATGCAGCTTGCGGCTAGCTTTTATAATAAACTTTTTCTTCTGAACTCTAATGCTACGCTTTAACTCTAATGTTACGTTCTAACTCTAATGCTATACTACTAATTGCAAATATTATGTAGCTATAAATATAGCATATTCTTATTCTAACTTATATTTTTAATACTGTTATATTTAATTACTGTAATTAAAACTCGAAAATTTTAAGATTTCTTAATGAGTATATATTTATTTTATTAAGAATTTATAATTTATTACAAATAATGAATAATATAAATTTTATATATTGTGATTGCTGTAGAAAAATAAAAGTTATATAGAAATATAAAGAATAATATAAATTTATAAAAAAAAATAATAAAATATTAAAAGTATGTATTTTATCACTTTATATGTATTACTTATGATGAATTGATTACTTGTGAAGTTATTATAAATAATTATCAATAATATTATAAATAAGGATGTTATTAAATATTTTTTTATAATATAATAATAATGGGAAAAATAAAAAATGTTAGATAGTTACAGCCCAAAACAATTGATCCTAAAGAGTAAAAAAAAATGATAAAAATAATAAAAATTAAAAAAGCATACCTTTCTTACTTTCAACCTAAAGGAATTGTAAACTTAAAAAAATTTAAAAAAGGTAATTTTAAATGAAAAATAAAAATGAAATTGCATAAATAAATAAAAAAATCAAAAAAAAATCTTACCTATCACTGGAAAATTAAATCATCTGCCAATACTCTAAAGCATTACATCCTATTTAGTATATAAAATTTAAACCAAAAGTCATGTGCAGAAGTTATATTAAAAATAGAAAATTAATGCATGTATTATATATACTTTCTATTTTTATAAATAATTTATTCATTTTTATATATAATTTATCTATTTTTAGTAATTATTTATGCACATTTTATATTATGTAATATGTGTACACAAAAATTTATTGTACATATATGCATATTGTGCATATGAATTTTACACACTGATTTTATTCCAGTAAACTTCTATAGTTTGTAAAAAAGGATATAATACTACAAGCTTATGATCATTCTTAATATTAAACTGATGTAAGAAATTATTGTAAATCGCAATTTCTAAATTTTTAAAATAATAAACTCTTTAAAAATAAGTATTTAGTGTTGAAAGATGCATGTTATAATCATAATTATCATATATTCTTACTAACTCTTTAAATTCTTTGACTAAAAATATTTTACAAGTTTTAAGTTATTTAAAAACACTCTGATTTTATAATTTAAAAATTCAAAAAAAAGAGCAATATTAAAAAAATTTGAAAAAAATTATATTAAAAAATTTTGTTTATTGATATTAAAAAAAAAAAAAGAAAAGTATATTAAATGTTAAATGCAAACAAAAAAGCAATATTAAAAAAATGAAAATAAAAAAAGAAAGTGTAAGAATTTTAAATTTGTTTAATTGCGCTACTGATAAATCAAATCACGTGTACCTAAAATCACGTGTCCGAGGACACGTAATGTCAGGTGATTATTAGCCAATCATAATCACATTGATCAAAATAATTAACAGCCAATTAAAAACACTTTCGCTCATGCTCTGATTAATACCTACCCCGTTCACCTTTAAACTCAGAAACTCAGACTAAATGATTGATTAACATAAATTGTCGCGTAGTTACCATACTAAGGTGTCTAGTTTTGCCGCCTTTCATGACATTATTCTTTTTTGTACAGATTTTTTGACTTTAGCAATGACTAACGGTAAGTAGATGCTTATTTATGACGCATAGTTTTCTTCGCCTCTTTATCCATTTCATCGAACCTGGAATGCGTACTCTCCCGGAGCTTTCGCAAGTTTGCCTCTTTATCCATTCCTTATTTATTGGAATGCGTCACTCTTCCGGATCTTTCGTGAGCGTGCCTCTTTATCCATTCCAGTTCGTGAAATGCGCGACTCATGAATCCTTTATTTTAAAAAATGTTCATAACTTTTTTTTTTCTTTCAGCCTTTCCCAGGTTTAGACCGAGAGATTGTTGCGGTAAAGCCGAACAATCTGTAATGATATGCGGAGATATTCAACCCTTAATCTCAGTAGAATTAGAAAAATGGCTTCTAAAGGCCAACACTGGCTTAAAGGATATACCTTCTTCGGTATCTAACATCACAGATGAAGATATGGTGTTACTAAATACCGGCTTTCAACATATCCTGATGTTAAGGGTAGGAATTATGTTATTTAACAAACCTCTTAGCGAATCTATACTTATATTTAAATATAATCTAATCACGGATTTATATATTCTCCCAAAGCATCAGAAATGATATGCTCGTAAAAGAAAGACTTCAATATTGACGAGTTGACGAAATTTCTGATCGATCCGCCAAAGCGTTCATTATGAATATGCGAAAAATCGTCATAAATGCAGGTTACGAGATAAAAGGCTGACGCATTAATACGCTACCACGTTTTTGAATTCGATCTTTGGTCATTTGGGTTTAGGTAAATAATGTGTTTGTTATATACTCTAATGATTTCTTAAGATCACATCATACTTAACCCTGGATCTTCGGATCAGACTATTTTTGCTATTCGTGTCATCTCCTCGTATGTTTCATTTTAAAAACTACGATTCCTGTAGAATACTGGAAAGGACTTAGAAGGGGCTTACCACAAAAGAAGTCAATTACGATTATAAGATGGCCGGTAGATATAAAAAATATGGTTTAGATTTGGCAGAACCAAATGATAGGTACTTAAATAAAAGAATTTATAATATAAAATATTATAATTATAAAAGTATATTATTTTTAATAACATTTTTTTTTTTTTTTTTTTTTAATTATAAGATTCTTATTAAACCTATTTTGAATTTGACAAAACTTTAGCTTTGTCATATTGAAATAAAACCTCAATTGGTTGGAATTCGACTTACCTACGCCTAAGAATCCAAAAAGAATGGTACTTAAACTCTTTTCTTACTATCGACGTTTTATACAAGACTTCGCGAAAATTGCAGGACCACTTCACAATTTAACCAAGAAAAATACGAAATCAATATATTAGATTCATTATTATTTAAATTTATATATAGTATTGGTTATAATTATAATTTATAATACGTGTATAAATAAAAAATAAAAATAAAATTTAATTATTTCTCTTACATGAATTTTATTTCAAATATTATTTCAAATTTCAGAAGTAATAAAGTAATTAAAGTTGCAACAATATTGATGAATTTATTATAACATTCAACCATATTTATTCTGTTCCCATTTTTTCACTGTTCCAGCCATTCGACAATATTCAATCCCATTTAAACCCTTTCCTTTTTTACCAATGAATTCCTCAAGGTTACCTTCTTTTAATCCATTCGTCATTTCGTGAATGTATTTCTCGACTTGAAATCGACTGATATTTGCCACATCTGCTACTTTGTTAATTTCTTTAAAATGATCATACATTCCAATAACAAGTTGAGCTTTTCCTTTTTTAAGAAGATGCGGTAAAGTAAAGAATCTATAAGGTTTTAGTAAATACTGTAAACGAAGATTAGTTGATGGCATTTCATTAGATAAAGTAATTCCGACTCGAGGGGAAGTATACATTTTCTCACTAGCATTATTATTTCTTTCTAATCGCGTATCAGAAGATTTTTTACGTGACTTCTGTTTAAAATACGGAGAGGTGAGACCTGTTGAATATCTTAACCTTTTCTTGTCTCTTCCAAAAACTTCATCGTCCGTCAAATCCTCATTTATTTGTGTCAAATAAACAACACCGGTAGAATTATCCGTATCACGTAAAACTCCACTTTTTCCTTTCCACACAATTTCTACCATTTCTCGAATTCCACCCTGTTGATTTACACCACATGTTTCGAGAATTTTGTCAACTATAAGACTTGGTCCCTCTATAACTTCATTAGTTAATTCATCTTGAATGGCTCGAATTAATATTCCTCCATATATTTTTTGGTCTACCGAGCCAAATGTGATATCAATTCCTTTCCTTGATCCACCTCGATAACCGTTCTTCCCAACATGATGAAAATACCATTCTCCGCAAGTCAATTGTTGCTCATGCCCATGAGAATATGGATCATTGTGATCATTTGTAGCATCATTTAAATAAAATTCAATTTCCAAAAATTTAAATGTACGTTCTGTTGGAAGGTGAAACCGAGTATGATATAAAAGAAAGTTAGCAATCTTAGTAAAGATGCAATTATAGAATGAATGTGAATTAGTTTCATTTTCGGGAAATGAGGGTAGCGTTATTGTTGACATAATTGATATCTTCGTATCTGTATTATGTTTTTTATCGTTAGAAGTTGAGTGTGCCATGTGTAATATTTCAAACGCGTATAGAACAATTTTGGGATGTTGATCTTTTATATATGCAATTTTTGGGTCACTTTTCTTAACATATATTACAAAATCAGATGTATAAGACTGACTATATTAAGACAATTCAAACCTATACTAAATACTAAATTAATCGAGATTTATGAAATTAATTAGCAGTTCAGATTTAACAACAAAGAAAAAATACCCAAAATGCTTTGGCTATTAAAAACATAATAAAAAATTTGCGATTAAATATTGAAAATTTTAATAAGTTCGGATATTGTATCTTCCATGTTTCGTTTAAAATTTTATCACAATATTTGCCACCGGCAAACCGAACGAACAAAAAAAAAGTTGCCCAGGTAACGACGAGCAAAAAAGTTTGAAGAATTTCTCAAAACGAGGTCCAACTTTGAGTAATGGAAAATTCAACTTTTTATCCATTTTTCAAATTGCTACTCGGAACGCTGTAAAATTCATTCTAATAATGATAGTTAATTAAAAAAAATGTCGCGCTATTATGACGCATTTTTGGATTTTTTTTTTTGTTTGATGAGTCTCTTTTAAGTCGAATTCACCGCCCTATATGCATTCATTGATGTCATCAAAGTATAGCCATCAATAATTCTAATTGGATAATCTTAGCCAATAACTATTTATCTATTTAACTAACGATCTAATGCACTTAGTGCACTTAGTGCAGTATTTTGGAGACGCGATTATCTATCAATCGGTTCAGTCTCTAGTGTTATTTATATTGTTCTTTGTCTTATACTTTTTTATGATCTACAATCAAGAATTCAAATTTTTGCAATGTTGAGAAGCAATGAGGGTCTATGTGGTTCTGGTGTATGGGTGAGAATAACTTTGAAATAACAACTTACGCGTACGAGTTTTACGAATTCAATAAATATTACTTATTTATGTGGATAGGGTCCGATAACCGAAGATGGCCTTGAACTTACTCAATGCGCTCGAGAAGTGTAAGTTTAATTTACTAAACCAATTTTTAGACCTGTCTAGGATGTAAATATATGCTCCTTCTTTTTTACTAAAAGAAATTTGACCGATATTTTATTCAGCATTCTTAATGCTGCCATTCCTATATGTATTATCATTTTGTCTATAACAAACTTAATAGTTCGTCGATGTCGTGGACGAACAACTAGTCGAAGTTATTATGCTCCTTTACCAGGAAATGATCCGGGCGCATCACCAAATGAATCTGGAAATATACCGGTTTCGAAATATGATATTGCCCAAATTATAATTTCTTTTTTTCATTTGGGATTTATTGGATTTCTTTTTGGCTGGCGGATGGATGATGAGGGTTATACTGGACTATATTTAGTGATTGGTGCTATAGGTCAATTTTTTTCCTGGGTAAGTATATTTTGAATTATGTGTAATTTGAATAATTAAATCATTCCTACTGTTAACTGTCGCTTATCAATTCATCATTAATTATTATTTTTCATATCAATAATTAGTTATATATTGGTGCATTGATAGCGTGTCATTTTATGACACGAAGAAATCAGACTCAACATGCATATCTAAGACATCTTCTCTTGTTTTACGCGTATTTTGTAATAGTTGCTTTCATTAATCTTCGATCAATGCTCAAACATGAACCGAAAGGTTATGAATTAGTGTTTTCAATATGGAACGCTATTGCTTGTAGTATATTATTAGCTTGCTCTCTTAAAAGACCAAGAAATCCAGAGTTGAAATATGCGAGAGATCGAGTAATATCTCATGATACTATTGCTTCCCTATGGTCATTATTATCTTTTGCATGGATGACTCCGATTATCAAATTAGGGAATAGACGTGTTCTCACTGAGGAAGATTTGTGGGAATTGCCATCAAGGTGCCAATCGGCTCAATGTTATCATGAATTAGAAAGGTGGGCCATTGTTTAGAATTTTTGTAAATAAACATCATCATCATTTTTTTTTTTTTATCGTTAAATGCGTTTATTCACTTCTTTTAGAATAACCAATATGGATCTTTTATCACGGTTACTTGTTGCCAACGCTACAAATCTAGTTTTTTTCCTTATTATCGCAATATTCCGATCAATCTTTGCTTTTACTACTCCTCTCTTCCTATATCATTTGTTAAAGTATCTATCATCAGCAGATCGTTCGCAACAATATTCGGAAGAACCTTATCTTTATGTATTTGGGATATTAATATCCGAACTCTTTAGAATTGTTTTCTTAAATCAATTGAATTATCAAGTGGTATGGCTTGGGATTAGAGTGGAACAAATGCTTAGTGTATTAATATATGAAAAGCAATTACGTTTGAAGACGTCTCCTAGAGCTGCAAGTAATAAACCAAACAATGTGCTCACAGCAGATGTCGATGACATTGCCGGTTTTTTCTCAAATCTACCTTTTATAATTACGATACCCCTCGAAATCTTGGCTGCTATGGTTTTTTTGTTTCGATTGTTGGGCTGGCCTAGTTTAGTTGGTGTTGGTGTAATGATCTTATGTCTTTGGAGTAATAAAAGATTTGGAAGACGCGTAACCAGATTGCAGAAACGGGTAAAAAAGGCGAGAGATGACAGGGTCGGTGAAATCTTTGAGGTAGACATTCATGACATTCATATGTAACTATTTATAAATCATTAATTGCTTTTAATAGTTTTCTAATCTTCAAATATTCTATAGCTTCTCCACGCAGTTCGAATGATTAAAATGTTTGCATGGGAGAGTAGCTTTCACGAAAGACTAATGTGTAATTCTCAGTTTTAAATCAATAATTCTGTCTATAAAATTATTTTAACTATTTATTTAACATTGAATTTTTGACATTTATTATTAGTATCTCGCAAAAGAGAGCTTACTTATTTACGAAGTTTGTTTTGGCGCACCACGATGCTTACATTACTTGTTCACCTAACGCCGTTCCTCGTAACATTATTTGCTTTTGCTTCTTTCACTTATTTCAAAATAAAAGACAATGAAGATTATCCCCTGACCGCTGCTATTGCTTTTACAAGTATCACATTGTTCAATACACTTAAACAGCCTTTACAGATATTCCCTAATTTAGTTGTTGAACTTGTAAGCTTGGGTGTAGCCATAGGAAGAGTTGAAAAGTTTTTACATGAGCCTGATGTACAAAGGGAAGGCTCAGGGTTTAGCATAAATCCTACAAGGACTTCCGTTGGGTTTAATAATGTTGATGTTGCTTGGAATTATCATATAAATGTTAGAGATCATAATGAATTTATGTTAAAAGGTGTTAATTTGGAATTTCCTTTGGAAAAACTTAGCATTGTCTGTATGTATGGGTGGATTTTAATTTATATTTTTCTTTGATTTTGATTATATTATATAATACATTGATTTATTACTTTCATGGGAACAAAAAGGTGGACAAAAATCATCAGGAAAATCTCTTCTCTTGCTTTCTCTTCTTCGTGAAACGTTTATCTTACGAGGAAAAATTCTTTTTCCTTCTTCATCTATTACGTATGTTCCTCAGCAAGCATGGTTGGAAAACACAACTTTTAGAGATAATATTTTATTTGGTGAACCTTTTAATGATGAACGTTACTGGAGGATTGTTGATTCTTGTTGCCTAACAAATGACTTTGAGAATTTTGATCAAGCTGATTTCACAGAGGTTTGAGCTACATATAATTATTATGATTTGTAAATGATGTCCTTATTCAGATACTAACTTGAATACCTTTTTAAATAAAAAAAGTACGATGAAAAAAATATGGTTCTATCTGATGGACAGAAGGTTCGTGTAGCACTTGCTCGAGCTTTGTATAGTTCAGCCGAGATTTTACTTGTTGATGATTTTTTATCCTCCTTAGACACGAATACAGGTTTATATTAGTTTATTTATTAATTTAATCGTTTCGACCTCTATAATGTGCTTATTTACAATAATTTTTTTTTGTAGCTCGTCAAATTATTAATAATTGTCTTAAAGGTCCGCTGGTTCATGGTCGGACTGTAATAATGGTAACTCATTATGTGAGATATTTTGTGGATAATGCAGCTTATATTGTTATACTTGGAGATAGCTTAGTTCAGGCAAAAGGTACTCCACAAGAATTGCGTGAAGCTGGTTCGCTTACTGAAGAAGTGCTCGGAAAAGAAATTAAACCGGAACCAGAACATATAGATAAAAATGATCAAAATCTTGTAAATCAGGCGATAGAGAAATCAGTTGCTGACAAAAAAAATTGGGCTGTTGAAGAAGGTTTATATTTTTTTTTTTTTTAAAAAAAAAAAAAATTATTAGCTTCATTATTATAATTATATATTGTGTTAATTAATTATTTTGTTCGTGCTTAGCTCGTTTTCAAGGAAAGATTCAACCTGGAGTTTACTACTTTTATTTTAAATCTAGCGGTGGAATAATACTATGGTTTTCACTCATCATTCTATTTATAATCATACGACTTTTAACGGTAGGTGAAACCTATTGGTTAAAAGAATGGTCAGAGGCTGACGACAAACCGGAGAAATATTACATCCAGATATATGCTCTTATAGCTTTAGCATCCGCCATCTTTACGATTATTCGTATGGCGTGGCAATTCTTTTTTGTTTCTCTTAAAGGTTCCAAGACTTTATTTTCAAAGCTCCTAAATGCTATACTTAGGGCACCTTTGAGCTTTTTTGATACCGCTCCGTTAGGCAGGGTAATGAATAGGTTTTCAAAAGATTTAGGAATGATAGATCAAGGTCTTGTAACTGTCATTTCAAGTTTTATTGGAAATGCTATAGGTGCAATAAGTGTTCTTGTTGTTGTCACAGTTGTAACACGTGAATTCTTCTTCGTCTCTATTGTTGTTAGTAAGTGATTATTTTTAATTTTTATTACTATTACTTTTTTTTTTTGAAAATTAGTTAACGATTATCACAATATTATTAACTTTCTAGTCATTTTATATCTAATCATTGGAAGCATGTACATTAATGTCTCTCGAGAATTAAAAAGACTACAGTCAATTACGCGATCTCCTGTTTTATCGTGGTATACTGAAACGATAACGTGAGCATCTCTTATTTAATTCTTTATTAAAATCAAAAAGAATTATATTTTATTTAGTTTGCTTATTTCATTTTTCATCTAGTGGTATTACGACCATCAGAGCATTCAAAGCTGAGCAACGATATGTTAAAAAGTTTATTGAAAGGTTATTATAATTATTTTTATGATATAATGACATAAAAAGGTTTGATTTAATTCATATATGTATATTTCTTTAGACTCAATACATCCAATAGAACGACATATCTCTTGCATATGTCTAATAGATGGATGTCAATTCGTATGGGTTGTATTGGAGCTTTTGCATCATATTTGGCAGGAATATTCATTCTTCGTCATTATGATCGCATTGATGCTGGGTTGGCTGGTTTCTGTTTAAGTTATGCACTTGGTTTCGTACAAATTGTGTTTGTAAGTTTCATTTAACATTATTTGCACAAGTTTCAATGTTGCGACAAATAACATTTTAATAATAATAATATTTTTATTAATTTGTAAAAGATGCTTGTTAAAGATTATACTATTATGGAAACAAGTTTGAGTAGGTAAAGCACTGTAAATTTTTATATTTATTATTTTAAAGTGTAAATTCCAACCTATTCTTAATTAATTGGCATTATCATTTTATTAGCGTTGAACGAATTAAAGAATATATTGAAATGCCACAAGAACCACCTGCCGTCATTGATAACGCACATCCTCCAGCTGCAGTAACGTATAAACTTACATTTCGTTATTTAGAATTGGTTTATTGTTTCTAACCTTAATAAAATTATAGTGGCCGACCAATGGTAAAATTGAGGTTTCAAACCTAACAGTACAATACTCACCACAATTCGAACCTGTACTTCGAGATATTTCTTTTACAGTAAATGAAGAAGAAAAAGTAGGAATCGTTGGAAGGTATAAAGGCATTAATTTATTTTTATTCGTAAAGTGCGGAACTTTTCCTTTTTTACAACAGTTATAAATGTAGAACGGGGTCCGGCAAAACAACGCTGGCTAATTCGTTCCTTCGTCTAACTGAAGCGACTGAAGGATACATTATTATCGACGGTATAGATATTTCTAATTTGGGTTTAGAGGATTTAAGGTCACGGTTAACTATTATATCTCAAGGTACGTACATTCTTTTCCCTAGAATGAATCACAAACATATATAAAAAATAATGTATATCGTTAGATCCCATTCTATTTGAGGGAACTGTTCGCTCGAATCTGGATATTCGATGTGAATATGATGATCAAGACTTATGGGAAGCATTGAGAAGAGTTCACCTTGTACATTTTGAAGAAAGTTTGGCAAACGATCAGGTTTTCGTCGTTGGACCAATAACGAACTTAGAAGATCCTGTAAATGAGGGTGGTAATAATTTTTCTAGAGGCCAAAGACAATTACTTTGTTTAGCTAGAGCGTTACTGCGACAATCCAAGGTATGAAAATGTGGTTTATTATGAATAAACAACAATTAAGTTGAATTAAATTAATTTCGTAATCTTTATGGATTTTGATAGATAATTATCATGGATGAGGGTATGTTGATGCATCAAAAGATATTAATTTGTCAATTATTAAATATCAGTTATATCAATTTTAATTCCATATTTTTTTTATTATAGCAACTGCCAGCATTGATCCAGAAACAGAAAATAAAATACAGGAAACTATAAAGAACGAATTTACTAATGCCACAGTGCTATGCATTTCACATCGCTTTAAAACCATTATAGATTCGGATCGAATTCTTGTTCTGAGTAAGTTTTGGATTCAATATTGATATTTTCTTATTTTCTTCCTTACGTAATTCGACATGTTTATTTCATTTTCCAATACTTTTTTTTCCCCCTTTGATAGACGAAGGTGAAATAGTTGAATTTGACACTCCATATCGTCTTATAAATAATATGGATAGTTTGTTTAGACATTTATGTGAGCAGACCGGAGAATTAGAGACATTGATGGAATTAGCAAGGTTAAACAATCCAGAGGAAGAGGAAATGGTATCGGTAGGGGAAGATGATGAAGAACTACTGGAAATGGAAAGCGATGAAACAGAGGAGGACGTACTAGAAGATCAACATGAATCAGAACATGAATCAGGACATGAAGTAGAAGAAGAACGAGAAGAACAAGAAGATCGAGAAGAGCCAGAGATAAATGCTATAGATAACGATAAAGATGATCGAGAGGTTTTATAAGAACATCTATAAGCTATTACTATTATTCTTAGAATATAGACAAGAAGACTGTAGCATATTAATTTTTTTAGATTTACAAATTTATGCAACTTTGGTTAACTATAATTACTCGGGGATTTTTTTTTTTTTTTTTTGTACACTATTTTTAACTTATAACAACCATATTTTACCTTTTTTTTTCTCTTTTCTTTTTTTTTTCAAAAAAAAAAAAGAAAATAAATTATTTAATATCGAACCTTTAATAAATTTCATCAAAGGGTCTTGTATCATTGAAACAACTTTCAAATACTTCAGTAACCGCACGTTCGGCTACTCCAGGAGCAGAACATGCATCATTTTGTTGTACAGAAAGTATTGCGCGTCTTTTTGCACAAGCCTATTTTTTTTTTTTTTGTAAAAGAAAGATTTAAATAAAAAATTAACACGGAATACATTATACATTGAGATAAAATTATATTGATTAAAATAAAAGGTTGAAAAACCTGATGTTGCTTTGTGAAACTAAAAAATCCACGACGAAGTTCACGAGTCCACCTACAATCACCACTAAGACTAGCAGCTCTGATTTCACTACAAGCATGATGTAAACAATTATTCCAATCAACATTAAATCTACAATGATCAAAAAAATGTAACATTTCATGTACCATAGTATCTTCTTGGTGTTTTTTACTAAAAAATCTATTTTGACATAAAAGTATTCCATGTTCCGGAGAAAATCCACCACTACGAGTTTCATCACATGGCTTACATTGTATATGATTCTTATCAATTTTACAACCCGCTTCTTCTAAAGACTTTAACATGAATGTTACTATTGGACCTGTGCAAAATTAAAAAAAAAAAACTTTAGGATTTTTTTTTTTTTATTAAAAAAAATAAAAAAAAAAAAAAGAAAGTGGGATATTCACTATTATTCATTAATTTATCTCTCCATCTTTCACAACGTTTACATTGAAATTCTTGAAAATCTTTTTCTAATTGAGTTTCAAAGTTTTTCTTTTCTTCTATTGATAAACCTAAACCTGTAAAATACATTAGACTTTTTCTCCATTTATCAAATTTTTTCTGTTCTTTCGATTTGTCTTCAATTGGATCCTTTTTTTCTAAATTTGTAGTGTTATTATTCGATGTTGAAGAAGACATGGTTTTTCTAATTTTTTTTTTTTTTTTTTTTTTAATAAAAGATGTAGATTTTATTGTCGAATAACGAAAATTTTTTGAATTTTGTTGATAACAGATCAAATCTAATGCAAGATCGTGTTGTACCAGAATTTTTTTTTTTTTGTCCATCTACACCCCCATTACTTATACAATGAATCAACTTACTCGTCAAGAAATCACACCAACATATTACGAAATTCTTGAAATTTCAGACGAAAATGTATCAATTGAACAAATTAAACGACAATATCAAAAATTATTACTTTTCGTAGGTTTTTTTATTTTCCACTCAAGTGTACAAATTTAATTTTTCGTCAAAATTACAAACTAACAAGAATTTAAAGTATCATCCAGATAAATTAGGATCAATCATGAAAAAAATCGAAGAGAATATCAATAATAATGAAAATGACCGTAAAGTTGAACTCATTATCAAGGCATGGCAAGTACTTAAAGATCCCGAATCGAGAAAGGTATATGATGATGAATTAAAAGGTATCATATACGTTATTGTTTTAAGTGAATTAAGATTATCCCAAATTTTTGCATTTAGAATTAAAAAAAAAAAAATCATTTAAAAAAAAAATTTATGTAAAAAAAGCGACACGATTAAAACAAGATGGAATTTATAATACGGAAGTTGATTTAGATGATATGGAATATAACGAAGGTCCCATTTCTTTTCTTGATGTTTAATTTCTTTATGTTGAATCTTTAATTTAAGGATATTTTTTGTTGTTGTTGTTGTAATTCATTATTTTAGAAACAAAATCTTATTCTATACCATGTCGTTGTAGTGGATATCATATTATAACAGAACATGATTTAGAGCAAGGAGCAAATATTACAGGATGTACTAATTGCTCATTAAAAATTCATGTATTATACGAGATGATAATTGATGAATGAATTTGTAAAATTTGATGTTAAAATTTATACCTTTAAAATTTCCATCTAAAGAAATTTTTTTTTATAAATAAAAATGTTACTATTTATTTCATTTGGATACAAAAAACCAAATATGGTCTAAGTTATGTTGATTTGTAACCGGAAACAAGATAGCAAGATCTACAATTTAAAATTTTTCGGATTTCAGATATCTTAAAAAATTAAAATGGAAAGTTCAAATGAGGAAATAAATAATAATTTTGAAGATACTTCAAAAGTCATCATTTCAGAGAAAAACAAGGATTTATCTAACGGGTTAATAAATGAAACGATTGATGAAAAGCATGAGGAAGAGCCCCAGCAAAAATTATCCAAAAATGCCTTGAAAAAACTTTTAAGACAACAAAAATGGGAGGAGACACGTGAGGCACGCAAAACGGCTTTGAAGGAAAAAGATAGGAGAAAGAAGGAAGAAAAGCGGAAAGCCAAGAAATTAGGTTTATTAGCAATTTGTATTATTCAATTATTGATTAAAAGGTTAATCTCTAAAATTTGCAAATGTGAATATTCATAGGTCTTTCACAGCCACCACCAAAGAAACCTAAAGTTGAACCAATCCCTAGCGATATAAAAGTTGTTATTGATCTGTCATTTGATGAATTGATGACTGATGTGGTAACTTTCTTAAATTTTCTATTTTACCAAGATGATTATGCATAAAAACAATTCACCGTATAATTTATTTCTCTTTATTAGGAAATTTCGTCTTTAACCTCACAATTATCGCGTTGCTACTCGGCCAATCGATCAGCGACGCGTCCTGTCAATTTATATTTTACTTCATGTGGAGGTCGCGTTCAAGAACGATTTAATACAAAATTACAAAATTATGTTAATTGGAAAAACGTGATTTTTGAATCTAGGCCTTACTTGGATTGTTTTAACAAGGAGGAATTAATTTACTTGACAGCAGACTCGAATGATTGTATACAAGAACTAGATGAACAAAAAATTTATATAATAGGAGGATTAGTGGATAAAAATCGTCACAAGGTTTAAAATTATGTCAATGATGTAATATAATGTTTTAATTGAAAAATTTTTTAATTTTGATTTTAATCATTTATATTAGAGTATATGTTATAATAAGTCTCAAGAAGATAATATTGCTTCAGCTCAATTACCCATTGGGAATTATGTTCAATTGAGTACACGAAAAGTTTTGGCTGTAAATCATGGTTCGTGAATTACAATATTTACTATTCTTTACATTTCATCTGAATTTAACGAGTTCCTTTTTTTTTTTTTTGTTAGTATTTGAAATTCTTATTCGTTGGTTAGAATATAAAGATTGGGAAAAAGCATTTTTGGAAGTTATCCCACAACGTAAACTTAACTTAGGAAGGGAGAAAAAAACTGATATTAACCCTATTGATGAAAGGACCTAACAGTCAATATGATAATGAAACGTTAGTGTGTAAATTTCCGAATTTAATTTTTAAATATTGAATTGTTCTATTGAGTAATTTTTAATTAGAAGACAACGAATATAAATTAGAATATTTATTAAATCATTTGCTATTTTTGTTTTTTTTTCAAAATAATTGTTTGAGTTTTGCCGGTAATTACTTATAATGAATTCCCGCCACTGGTTTTTCTAAAAAATAAAAAAGGTATCATAAAAGATAAAATTTTACTTAACTAAATTATCGCTTTCTAATTCATTTATTTCCTTCTTTAAAATATTTATTTCAAATATATTGATCCATCTATTAATACATTTAATTTTAAATGAAATCTTTATATTGATTTTCTTTAAAAATTATAATTATATTATCTATAAAATCATAATTAATTACATTTAACTTTATATTTATTAATTTATTATCTATAAAGTTTATTCAATATTTTTATTATATTTGAAAAAGTAATTTAAAAAAATTTTATATATAAATTCTTTTTTTCTTTTTATATTAAATTATTATAAACCTTATTGTTTAAATTCTTTTTATTTTATTTTCAAAAAAAAAAATAAAATAATTTGTTTATTTATTATTACTAAATATAATTTTATATTATTTAATAATCATTAAATAAAATATATATAATAAAAGTTTATATATTTTTTTTAAGAAAATTTCTTAACATATAGTATATCATATATATTAAAGTATCATACAAAAATAAAAAATTATTATTCTAATTTTATTACGAATTAATATAATAGAAAAGCAATTGCTTTTATTAAAAAAAATTTAATTTTAAATTTTTCAAAACAATTTAAAATATTATTTGAATTTTTATTTTACTTTTATTTAAACTTTTTAATTTATTAAAGTTTAATTTAACATTTTAATAAATAATATAATTAATATATTTAGATTATCTTTTTTATTATAATTTTTATTTTTATTTATCTCATTATATTAATTTTTAAACTATTAATTAATTTTTAAAAAAAATTATTTTTAAATACTAAATTTTTGGAAATTTTAATAATTTTAAATTTTTTTTATAATAAAAAATAGTATTAATTATTTTTTAAATATAGACAATCTTTATTTAAAATAAAATTTTGAAAATTTTTTTATTTAGGCGATACAAACTAATATAATTGGTTTTCATATCTGAAGTTAGAACTATATGACTATCTGGTCAAAAACTTTATATTAAATATGTATTGCATATTAATATAATAAACTATTATTTTATTTAACATATTTATAAAGAACATTTTCAAAAAATTTTATTATTTTCAATGTGAAAAATTATTTACTGAATTGGTCGATTAACATGTATATTTTATTTTTTATATAATTGTTTACATATAAATCAAATTTATAAAGTAACATTGATCATACTTTTTCCTTTTCTGATCACACTCCTAAGTATTTTCCCTTTCTAACTGCGTTCTGAATGACTTTCTTTCATAACTGTATCCCTAAAACAACTTACCTATAAAAAGCAAAATTAAAAACCTATAAAGTAATATTGATTAGTTAAGCAAAAGGCAACTACATTCTAAATGATTTCCTTTTTGACTGCATCCTTAATGAAATTAAAATGTGTAGTAAATTTTGATCACATAATTTGCAAATATAAACTAATAAAAAGAAAGAAAAAAAATGTGTTAAAATAACCTTTCCTTTAAACTCTTTAACAACCCTTTTCAAAAATGCTATTTGTAAATATATGTATCTTTAAAGAATTAAAAGTTCTTCATGGATAGTTTATTCATTCTATTCCTTATATAATGACAATAGAAGATTTTTTTATAAAACTTATAATTAAAGAACTATCTCCTGAATATAATATAATATTATTATTTTAAGTTTTAAAGTAATAAAAAGTATTAAGATAAACGAAATATTAACTGCAGTTACAATCCAAGTCAGCCCTATCTATAATATCATAGAACTTATAACAAGTATAGGAATATGTATACAATATTAGCTCAAAACTGATAATAATGTAATTTCTAATTCAGTAATACAGAAAAATGGCCTTATAGTTTTAATTTAAAATATATATCAAAATATATATCAAAATAAATGATATCTACTAATTTTTTCACAATCAAATAGATCAAATTGTAAACAAAAATTACGCAATGATCTTGTTAATTAGATTTACCATCATGATAGAGAATGGTTCACTCAATCGTATGCTAATACGTAAGAAAAGCAATTTGTTAATAATTTGATTGAAATGATCTGGTATATT